GTAGTTGGTTGGAAGGGTTGTGCAGTGGGTTTTGGGGGTGTCTTATTCGTGTTATTAGTCTTAGTGCAATTTGTTCTGTTGTTTGTACGTATCGTCAGATCAGTACGTATCGTCAGTTCTGTTGTTTGTACGTATCGTAAGTCAGAATATAAATCGTTTATTCTTGGAATTATGAGGATCTAAATCAAATCCCAATAAGTCATCTATCCTTAAAAACTGTTTACAAATTCGGACATTGAAGCCATTTAAATAATTGCCCAATAGCTACGAAATATTACCTGTGAATGTGAACATCCTTCACATTAGTACATATTCGAGAATCATCAGAATTTCTAAGAAATCTAGAAACTCCCACGTTTTAGAATGTTACGAAACGCCAATATTTGCACAAAAGCCAAGTAAGTAAAAATTAATTACGTTGGTTACTAAAAGGTTAGATGACATTCAGTAACTGGACTAATTATAATAAAAATCTAACAATTGAATGAGTAACCAAATTTAATATACGAGTATACTACAATACTTAACTAATAAATAATAATTTAATAATAACTACAAAAAGCTTTGGCTTTGCTTTATCAAAAAAACTAACACTGTGCTTTCAATCAATAACTAGCAGACTTTATATCCTTGAAAATCACTAGTATTAACTAGAGTTGAGCAACAAATCACTACCTGTGATTTTTTCACAGTGATTAATGAATCGCAATCACAATCTGTGACGAACGTAAAAATAAACTGTGATATAAAACGTGATAATAAAGATCGACTTATATTTTCACTGCTAACGCAGCTATTGTCAGTTGCGTGTAGTGATCATGTGGCCCGACGACAAAACAAATCCAAATAAATTTCTTTTGTTCGTTAATCAAAGCTTGCATTCACGGGTTCCCATTCCCAGTACGGGTAAGTACTTATTTATGAACATCTATTTTCACTCAAATAGTTTTTTTTTCATATCAAAAATTAAAATCAAATATAGCTTTTTCAGAAATATTTAAGAGCTACATACTCTATTCGTTCTGTGTACAACAATAATTTTTTTGTTCCATTTTTAATTTTTTACCAGAATATTTTAAGAACTTTTAGAGTACCTAGGTGGTTATTTTTTAGTATCCTTAAAAGCAATTGTACCTTAAGTATAAAATATAATTTGTTGTATATCTAAATAAGGTAATTTATAAAACATATTATTTACAAATTGTTTCTGCAAGTGAGAACCAATTACCAATCACGTTATGAGGCTGCTGCCTATATCATTATATCGGCAACCACATGTGAAATCACTTTCACAAGTTAAATTCACAGTTAAAAAATCACATTCACAGTTATAACAATGATTTTAAAATCACGCTTTAGCTCATCTCTAGTATTAACTAGTTCATAAGAATGCTATTAGGACACCAACTAAAATTTGAAAAATTCCATTAAGTACTCCATTACTTCATGACAAGCTAACACACGTTTTTGTAAAGAGTCACCAAACTTAACAATTCATTACCTTGAATTATAATCACTACTTAATAAGAGAAAGGAAATTCAAAAATGAGGCATCATAAAATATAAATAACTGGAAGCAAGTCATCGGAAATTAAACGTTTTAGCATCCAAGAAACTGGTATGTAGTAGTAGCAAGTACATTTCAAAGTATCAAAATGCCACCACGAGTAGCTTTAATTGGAAAGTGGCGACAATCGAGGAATAATGACGTCAATCAGTTAACATCCATATGGTTCAACATATTATTTGAGTTAATGTCGAATTGACCTAGAACAACTGTTAAAGTCTTAGGCAACAAGCATTGAAGACTCTATGGGCTTCTAATATTTAAACTATTCGCTATTTCAAGAATTTTTATAGAGCTAGTGCATATGCCGATGAGACCGTTGAAACTTGCATACTATAAGTTCGTTTTCAAGCATAAAATTCCAAATATGAAAAGTTTTCTACCAAGCACTCCTTTAGATAGGCCGAGAAGATAATGTAAATGCACGAATACTAATAGTGTTGCCAATTTTGTTTTCAAAACGTTCAATTTTGCTAGGCATTGATGGATGTAATTCAGTTATTCCCCACCTGACGTTAATATCGACATAAAAAAATGTAGAGGTCGCTTCTGGGTTTCCCCCTAGCAATTACCCAATATATTTGACTCGTTTTTTAATGGGCCACCCTATATATATCTTATATGATAAAAGTGTTGGTGTTTTGTGTCTTGAAGTTGTATTGGATGCTCTTCGAATATTTCACGTACTTTTACATTATTAAAATTGAAATGAACTATGGAGCAATTGTCTGAGTCGAGATTTGACAAATGGAATTCGTAGTGTTATCACACCACATGTGTTGTGGATATGTGTAATCCATGTGTGCTATTGATATTAAATACATTGATTTATAGCAGAAAACTTCAGAGAAAGATTTAGCATTACTTTGAAGAACGCCGTCAAACTGATTTAACAGGCAGGACAGATTTAAATCAAATGTGGCTAATACCGAAACAGTGGCCAAATTTGTAGACTTTTAAGTAAACATTCGTACGACAACGTAGGTAGGAATTTTGATACCAGTGTAGTAGAATTATACAAAATATTGAACTAACATCAAATTTTCAATGCCACCTACGTAGCGGTTTCCTCATATAATATATAATATACAGCTTTATCAAACATTCTTGTTATGAACAGTAGGTAAAATATGTAGATGAAATAAGTAATTATTTTAAATTAAATAAAAATTAACTTAAAGGAGGAAACTGCCATTGGGTCTATTTTTGACTAAACTTCATACACGAGATCCATAAAAATGTGACTAGTTGTTTGCCGGTGGTAGGCAAACAACTTGCCCCATCGGAAGGTCGATCCGTTGAAAATAGGAGGGTAAAAACCAGTTTAAATATACAATTGAGTTTCGTTAAGACCGCTTAAACAATGTTAGAACAAATGACGAGTTCTTTATGCCACATGTAGTCCAAACGTTTGATTTGGACAACTCTCCTGAAACTGAAATGTATTTCTTCTAGAATAACTTTTAATTGGGATTTTTCTTTTGCAACAGTCAGAGTTCCGAGTTTTAATTGAAACTGTCACATTTTTTGTTCATACGCAGAAACATGCTGGAATGTGACTAGGTATATGAATACTGTGGATGTCTAATGTCCGTATGTAGATATATTGAAACAATGTTTCACGGAATAAAGGTCGAAATTACAATATTTAAATTTATTTATGTTTTCATTAAAATTCATCAGTCTGTTATAATCTGATAAATTTTAATGTTTTATTACCCATATTTTGCTAGTGGATAGAATGCAATCTTTCGCATCTCAACTCACAGTATATTTCTTGTTCTAGTATGGACATAGTTGAATTAGTACAAATTATTTATAATTGAGCCATTGAAGCTATAACCGATTAATTTATTATATATTGCTTTGCTTTTTTATCGTTTTATATCGTATGCAATAAAGTGAAGTAACTTGTACTGATTTGCTATTTTTAACTTAAGCATCCCGATCGCCACTTTGTGGTGCTGGCAAACATTTCTTAATTATAGAAAATTCCGAAAGGGAATTTGTTTTAATCTTCTTCACCTTCCTTGGAAAAGCGGCCAGATATTACATTAAGTACTAGAAAATTATTGTTCCTGCAGATGACGATACAGTCAGGTGTCAAATTTAGTGCTATGTTTTCAGTTATTTTCGTATTATTAGAAAGCATGTTTACCGTTTTTTAATTTATCAGTAAAACAGTAAGTCACTTTCATATTAAAAATGTGTAGAAGGCACATGGATATGCATTGCTCTGCTTAATGAAACTATCAGAATTATTAGCGGTTGAAATAAATATGTACCTTTATAATATAAAACCTTATACAAAACAGTAAAATTTACTGGTTTGTCCTTTAAAGAAGAAAAATTCTAAAAACTAATCTTCAAAAAACGTTAAACTTGAGGTATCGATGAATAACAGTAATACGGAAAAGTATGTTTTAAGCAATGTTTACAAGTAACCAAGACCAAATTAATGAGACAAACGGCGCATTTAAAAGTTCCGGGAATTTCTGCTCAGTCCGATAAATTTATTTTGATAGTCGCCGATAATATTATTCCCGGGATGAGCAATTATCAGGCATATTAACATAACTTTAAAGCTGTACTCACATACTCCAAGTTAGTATAATTTTATTTGTCAAGCTGATTTATGAAATATTTATTTTTACTTACTTAATCGTTAAATATTAAATATATCAATGTTTAATTATAAACAAAAAAAAACTTTAAAAAGTATGAAACATATTGGAAAGGGCAAATGCTAGTTAACCGATTAGTCATTTTAATATTAAAATGTGTTTAGATAATGTAAACCTGACCTACACTCTTTAGGAACCCTAGAAGTTTCTTAACTGAGCACACTAAATAATATATTAGTCGTATATAAACAATGCGTATATTATTACGTATCTTTTTAAAGAGAAATGTACTTTTTCCATTTTACCGCCGTTGCTGGTTTCAACTACGAGGCTTAGATATTGTTAACCGTTGGACGAATACTTACAGTGTGCATACATTAATTTTTAAGTGGTCGGAAACTATTCTTAGGAAATTTCGTATAGACGGTCTATAATAGACGGCTATAAGGCCTGCAATACCTACCATTGTGTTTTTGATAAAAATGAAATCGATTAAATCGTGTTTTTTTATCTACGTCGTTGTGCCTTGTATACTCTTGAATTTCTGTTGTTTTCAATTTCCTTTAATAGGTAACGAATTGCGTAGTTAATTTATGAAGGTTGGTAGAATACTATTTGCATACCGATTTTATCATTAAAAATTATCTTTTTGCGGTAGGTCGGTTTATTTATCACATCAGCAATGTCATTCTTAATAATGAAATTTCCGAACCAAAGCAATGCAGTCCTTCACCTTTTATCAACTTGATATATTTTTTCGTACGAGAAAGTATTAAGCTACATATGGACCCAAGTTAACAGAACTCGAAATAAGTACTTATAAAACCACTATTATACCAAGTATTTCTCCCAAACGCATACCTATTATCTTAGCAGATGTCCAAAAACGTTTTCCCGTTAAATATTTTTCATTATTTATACTATTTTTCGGGATATGTATGCATCGAGTCAATACACTTGATGGTGAATTAATTAATAATTATGTGAATGGCAGAAAACATAAAATACTAATTTCAGGATTTACTTTTAAATCCATAAATTTTAATACTTTTTTATTTACAATTAAATGCTGGATTTCATAGTAAAACATATATATGTATATTAATTCATTTAAAAAATTTAAATTGTACCCCACCTGACTTTCAACAGCGCCAACTATAAAAAGGTTGATATTACCTTCGGATTTCCTGCTAGCAATTACACATTTGCATAAAACCTTTTCCTGTTTATTGCTATAATTTACGACATATTTGACTGGTTCCTTTAAAGTAAGACACCCTGTATATCCTCAAAGGGGTCATAGGCGTTCACTTGGAGAGTACAAGGAAAATATTGAAAATTTATAGAAGTTATTAACAGAAAATCGAACTTCAACTTTGTTTATAAGTATTATTTTGAAATGGTCCCATGTTTGATTGGTAACCTATTGGAATACTTAAGCAGTGGGAAAGAAAAATTACCAACTTAACTTCAAATTATGAAAATTCAAAGGGACAACCTTGTTTTCTGTCATTATCATGTAGGTAGACGGTTTTGTAAAGAATTACAAGCATGCGTCAAATTGTGACTTAGTTTGAAGCTTCTTTAACAAAATGTACACCAATATCGAATATGCGGATATGCTATTAACAACACAGCGGAACCTTGAAGAACTTACGCCAACAAAGGGCTAGAGACAGTGGACGATTGGTTCCAGGAATTGGGGCAGATAGTGGACGACCAAGAGGTGTTTGCGTTCCTGGCATAGAGGAATAGATATTGGAGATAATTGCAGCTGAGCCCTCCCGAAGTAATCGGAGTATTGCACAACAACTGGCACTTTCCGAGGCAATTGGACACCGAATAATTAACGAGAAAGGACATGCAAGCCTACCATGTATGTAAGAAGCATAGGTCACAAGCAGACATATTAAATCTCTGGTTTACCGAACATCGATTCAAATTGAGCACAATTTAATTAACTCAATACGAGAAGCTACTCAAGAAGAGTGCAGAATACTGTGATTACTAGGGCACAAACTTGTTTGAAGTTAGTTAAACACAGGAATGTATGTAAGTGTGCATGTATTTTTGTAAACACATCAAAATAAGGTTATGATGTTGACCTTCACTTAGAACTTGTATTGATTGATAGTTTCTGATAGCCCGACATTAATTGGTCCAGGCAAATGCAATAAAAATTACGAAAACGCTCAATTTTACGCTTTTAACGTATACGTAAATATATGCAGGGTAATTCATTGGTAAGTGCACATACTTTTCCTGCAGATGTAGGTTACGTAGCCGAATGGGATACAATGCATGCATGGCAGGACCGAACAAATGAGTTTCAATGTCAAAAACAACACTGGATCCAAATTTATAAAAAATATGTGCTGAGATTTGAAACGATCACCAATCCATATTTTATCTGATGTTTGGCCTGTAAGTACGTTTTTAAAATGCGACGAATGGGTTCCAATATTATTTTAATTAAATTGCATTAAACATACCATTTGCAACATATAGCTGCTTGCAAATAACTGAATTTATGCAAAATGGTTTATACTGAGAAAGTTAGCAACTAGGAAGAAATACGAAATCCAACCGTTAAAATTTAGCTGAAAAGAACTAGGATATGTAATAATTAAAACGCTGATCATTATGAACATTTGTAGACGTGAATTCAAATGCAATTGGGAGAACAGAGCAGGCCGATGTTACTGGTTTCTTTTCGGGGATGCAAACCCTTTGCAGGTAAAAATGGCTCCAAGTTGGGTTGCCAAGTGTACAAAATCTTTAGCCTACGTTGCCAACATGACAGAATTATATTTTAAACAGACATAAACGGTGTCTCTCAGAAATTATCCAATTTTCGAGAAAGAATTTACCTGAATAGTTAAGTTGGAAAATGTACCTTATATTGTAAAATATTCCCTTTCATTAACATACTTAACTTACTTTCGTTCAATTCACAGACCAAATTGTATTTTTTACACTTATCAAGTAGGCCCAGCCTAAGAGAGAAATAAACGAAATACTAACTTTAACACCCTGTATGTTAATAAGTAAGAAGACACTAAAGGGGAATGACATGTTCCCGGCTAAGTGACCCATATAATTTTGCAGGAAAAATACGTACACTTACTAATTACTCACCCTGTATGTATTTATTCACCACAAAGAAGAGAATTATTGATTCGATTATTTCCTAATATACTTATACTTACATAGGTACAAGTACTTCTACATATTTCAGTAAGTAATAGTTATTTTTTCTAACTAAAGGTACAATACAGTTTTAAACAATTAAATAAATTTTAAACTAACTAGTGTCTTGGTACTATTTTTTCAGCGTCATGTTTGAAGTAAACAAACATTTTTAGAGTCACACAGTTTCTAATCTGTCGAGTAAGGTATGTTATTAATTTTGCTCAGTTCTCCACTTTGTTTTTCACTCTCTATCTATTTTTGCGCGTTTGTCAGATATTTTAATTACGTTAGTTTGTTCATCTAGCATTTGTTTGGAGAAGAGCAGTACATTTTTATTATAGATTGTACATTTTTTATAGCTTCTAAGTTGGATGTAACAGACTGAGACAATTTCTAATAAATATGGGTTTGTCACTAAAACACTTTTCGTCTATCGTGTCGGGGAAAGAGTGCAAGTTTTCTTCTTCGGATAAATGGGCAGATTTGTACTGGGTGGTCCCAAGAAATGTAAATCGTTATAGATTAAAGCCAAAAGATTTCAATGTCTCTTTTCGAGTAAACGAGGTGGGGCAAAAAAAATTTAAGCGGTAAGTATATGTTAAAGCCAAAAGAGTTCAATGCCTCTTCTTCAAATAAATGGGTAGATGGTCGTTATTATCTATTTTTCAGAAATTCTAGACAATGATGCTTTCTTGCAACGCAAACAGATCCAGTAACAAAAGCAACTGTGTGTCGTAACATACGGAGTTATTGTAATGCAAATATTTCATAGCGACTTGAAAAGAGCAGGCCTTATGCAAGTGGAACTTAAAAATAGGTACTGTTTCCGGACAAAAAAATGAAAACAAAATGTAGGTTTCTATTCATTCCAATGCATTTAATACAAGAAAAAAAATAATAACTCAGTTTGAAGCTACTGAATTGTCGAAACATATCTTTGAAACTATAGGTGAATGATCTTTTGTACTCGGAATAGGGT